CTGCGACTGTTGTCGAAGCTATTGCTTCTGTGGCGGAAGGTGCTGCTCCTGCTGTTGAGACTGCTGGTGTTGCCGACGATGCCTCTCCTGTCGCGGAAGTTGCTGTCGTTGAGATTGCTGCTGTTGCCACAGTTACTGCTGCTTCTGCCGACGCTGCAGCTCCCGTCGTGGAGGATGCGGCTGCTGCCGACGTTGTTGCTCGCGCAGATGAAGCTGCCGCCCCAGTTGCTAAGGCTGCTGCTGTAGTTACTGCTCCCGCGATTCAAGCTGCTCCCGAAGTGGAGACCTCTGTTTCGGAAACTGCCGCCGTGGACACCCCAGTCGACGTCAAGCACGTTGCTGAGACGTTGGTTGCCTCCGTCACGACCGAAGCTGTTGCGTCGGTGGCCGCCAAGACAACTGCTACTGCTGAAAATGTAGTTGAACCAAAAGCAAAGGCGAAAGTGGTGGCTGTCGAGGCACCTGCTGCGGCTGAAATGAAGAATCCCGTCGCGTCTCCCGCCCTCGAACGATCTGCCGAAGCTCAAAGCGCGTGCAAGTGTGTCATAATGTAGATGTCGTGATAGGAAAATGTAAATTTGCTCCAACTTGCCAGCGCTTGGCGGGACATCCGTTCGGCAAACAAGGCAGCGTTCGAGCCCACCGCGTCGCGTTCTGCTTGGAGATGACCTTCGACTGCTCCTGGCGCACATGTCCATCCTCCGAGCACACAATAAAGAATATATATACACCTGCCACCCATTTGTCCGACGAAATCTCGGGATTATTTCCGAATTCGCGCTAACTAGGGCGAATCATGCGCTGGGCCTTTGTTCCCGACCAGGTGACAATCCCAGCCATCCGTTTTCGTCGTACGGAGGGTCACGTGGCGCGCGCGGCGGGAAACTCGAGCAGCAGCAGCACACATACCGAGTCCTCAACCTTTCGATCGTTTACAGTCCAACGGAACCCATATACCACCACCGCCCTCATAGACGGCCGACCGACATCCCGACCCTCATCCCCGTCTCCAGCCACTGCTTCCATCGTCGTGTCGACCGTCGACTGGACGGGGGCTGTTGTCCCAAGGGCCCAAGCGGACGGCGTCGGAACTTTTCCTCTGCCGGGCGAGTAGCCGCGTGCACCCACTCGGCCCGACGTCGCCATGCGTGTCATACCGGGTTCAAGTGTCTACGCGTCACATCATACAATGTGTCGTCGTCCCATCCTCGCCACCTGGTCGCAAACTTCAACGTTGCAGCAAACGTGCTGTCCTGGGAGAGTACTGGTGCCGACGCCACCACCCGTGGGTTTCGTTTGGCTTATCCAGGTCTCCTCGCTTTCCCGTTCTCGTGTGGTGGCATCGTCCACCGCGGAAAACGATTGCGTCGATCCAAGCGACAACGAGTGTTTGGCTCCGAGGAACCATGTCGCATGCCACATCTATGGCATGGTATACAAAATCCAACATGTTTTCGTCAGCCCGTCATCGCACCCCCTTTTGTCGCAGGGTAATCAGATCAGGCAGATCTTGGCCATAGTTTTTTACGTTCACTATACAAATATCAAGGTATTTTAAAACGAGACCTCCTAGTCACATATTTATTCGCGAGAAATGCGCCATTGAGTATTTCGCCTCCTCGCGTGCACAACGACGACGACGCTGCCGCCGCTGCCGATGGACTCGTACGCATATCACCATGCCTCCCGGCGATCCATGAGCATGTGGGAACAGCCCGTGTCGAAACGACCCCTCCCCTCCCTCGCCAGCATCGACGCCACCAAGAGTGTGCACCATCCCATGGAGAACAACTCGCACTCCCAACCGATCCCCATTCCTTCCTTCGGCACTTCAGGGAATGTTCCTCTCCCTTCTCTGTCGAACCACCAACATCACAGCTTCTCGGCATCCACTGAAGCCGTACCGCTGGCGCTTCCGAAACTTCGCTCGATGAGTCTGGGAGAGTACATGCCGCAAGGTCGACAGCATCACACGGAGCCTGAAGTCGCTCGATTCAACAACCCTCAGGAGTTTCATGTCAAGAACGAAATCCCGATCCCTCACAGCTGGACCCCCAACCACAGTCATTTCCTGAATCAACGGCAACCACTGATATCGCATCCTCAGTCGGAATTCTCGTTGTCGCGCAGCTGGACCACCAATAGTGCCGCTCCTCACCTCATGCCCCGGTATTCTTCCAGCTCTAGCACGGCCGCGTCCAGCTGGAGTCCTTCCCCCACTGCCCTTCAGCAAATGAGCCTGAACAACAACTCGTCGTCGTCTGACGATGACGAACAACCCGATGAAGAGAGCGACCCTCTGAACAGGGGCTCCACCCGCGTTTGTCGTACCAAGTCTTGCAAGAATGTTGCGCGCTCCAAAGGCCTGTGTCGCTCGCATGGTGGCGGCAAGCGGTGCACCGAGCCAGGTTGCAGCAAAAGCGCCCAGGCGAATAAAAAGTGCATTGCCCATGGTGGTGGGACTCCGTGCTCGTTTGAAAACTGCGACAAGACCTCTCAAAGTCGGGGTTTATGCAAGGCCCATGGCGGCGGCGCCAGGTGTAAGTACCCTAGCTGCCCCAAGAGCAGTCAAAGCCGTGGTTTCTGCCGTGGGCACGGCGGCGGCGTGCGGTGCAAGGCGGATGGATGCGAAAAATGGGTGCAGAAGAACGGGTTTTGCATCAAGCACGGCCGTGAACAGCCTTGACAAACCCCAGTGTGTAGAAACCCATGTGTAGATGTAGTCGATGTGACAAGGTGTCTTTTTACAAGCGTTGTGGACAAGTTGGTTCGACGTGGTTTTGCTATGGACCAGTCGCCCGGCCAAAGAGAAAGCTGTACACTGGCTCGACCCACGCGAACCAGAGCCACGATCCCCATGACTTGGAAGGGCGCGCACCAGGTGCAGTGTAAACCTTGAGGGCATCGACCGATACGAGCCGTCGCTCCTGCGGCGCTGTTAGCTTTACGCCTCGATTGCAGCGACGTCATGGCCTCCTTACTGGCAAAACGACTGCTGTCAGCTTCTTCCCGTAGCAACAGCCCGTGTCCAGGCCAAGTGCAAATGGAGTGTCCTACATTGCGGTTGGACGTGTCGGAGCCGATCGCTTCAGGACGCACCTGCAATCCCGCCTTTGCATCGTGCCCAAACACAACCAGCTTGGGGCCGTGATACGTCGCAGCCCACAAGACCGAGTCGCCTTGGCCAGACTCGAGAGCGGTCGATGGCTCTCCCGTCTTGATGAACCGCATCTTGTACAGCATACCGAGGCTCTGTTCCTCAACCGGAACTCCCGGCACCATCCCGGCATGCACAACGATCGTATTGATCTCAGGCAAGTCAATCGTGAATGGAAGCTGCTCCAGAAACTCTATATCTGCGGCACAAAACCCGTCCGTGTACTCGTATCGCGCGTCGTCCTTGATTCCGCTTTGCCGGAGGTAGTACCCATTCAAGGCAGCGTCGTCATGGTTTCCGCGGACACACAACGCTCCGCTCTCACGCGCAAATTGAACGACTTTCACGGACTTTGGTCCTTTGTTAACCAAATCCCCCACAAAGACAAGGACGTCCTTGGCGGCATCGAACTCGGCCTTGTCCAGCAACAGCTCAAGCTCGTCCAAGCACCCATGGACGTCGCCGATAATGATCACTCGCTTGTCTTTTGGTACGTGATGAATCTACAGACCCGTTGTGAGCGGTGGGATCGTACGGCTGGACCTACTTGATGCAGAACTCTCGGCAACCCGACATTAGGGTGCGCTCGTGTGCGCTCTGCCATGCGGCGGTCGTGCGACAATGTTCCCTGGAGGTTTTCCTGTGAACACGAATGAACTTATTTATGCCTGCCAATTCCTCGGCTCAATTATCCGGATGTGTCTGTCTGGAGGCGGTCGAAGATAGCTTCACGATGGCAAGGTTGCGCTGTGTCGGTGGGTATGACAGGAACAGACTCGATGAATCGGACGCATCGAGGGCTCCCAAAGGACAGGACTCGAGTCGAATCTATCGACGCTTGGAGCACGGGAAAAGCTGCCTTTCGTTTGTTTTTTGGACACCTGGCGTGTGCTCCTAGTACTTGCTTGCCCTCGTCAACACGAAGGACGTCGCTATAAAGATGGATCAGCAGCACAAACACCATCTCAGGAACAGGTGAAGTGCTTTACAAATGAAAGGGATAGCGATGACTTACTTTAGCTACCAGTCCCCACGAAAACCATTGCGTGCAGTCAACCCAGTCGACATGGAAACAACGAAATCCTCCAAAAACCAGCTCGACAAGAATATATTGTCGGCGATGACGACAACATATCTTCACGGTGGCAATTCGACCATGACGCACATCACATATCGTGACGACGGGACGGCGTTGAAACAAGGACTCGGGGAATCTGGCGAATTAACTTAGTTACAAAGGGGTTCGACGCCCCCAGAAACTAGTGTCACCAACGGCTGGGGCTGGCGGGCATGTAAGCCGACGCTTTGGGACTTTCCGACTTGGCTCCGGACGACGGGGTCGTGACGGCAAGATTCTCCGCGACGTGGCCACCGGCATGGATGGATGAATGCATGGCCGCGTCACCATGGTGCAGGTCGTCCATGACACGCTTGCGGCCGCCAAACCAGCGTTTGAGGTAGTTTTCATCCACGTTCTTCCACGTCTTTTCCAATTTGGTCGAGATGCTCGTGTGCTCGGTGGAGACGGGGGCAACGGACGCATCGTCGTTCAATGTAAAGCAGTCTTCGTCGTGGTGGTCGGGCTTGGGGTGGCGCCGGCGCACGTCCGTGTTGACCAAATCACCATGGGCCAACGAATGCACAAAGCTCATGCGGGGCTCGGCCGGCGCCTTGGGGCTGGACGGCGACTGGTCCGGCTCCGACGCGATCCCGATGTACGCCAGGAGCGGTCCCGTGAGCCCTCCCAAAATGAGGGTCGTGAACACGACAATCATCAGTGTCGTCGACACAATCAGTGGGCGGTGGCTCTCTCCCGAGCTATCGAGGTGGGACCACGTCTTCACCAGAGCAAACGAGATGGCACCGCGGAGACCAGCAAACCAGATGACAAAGATGGACGTAGCTCCAATGCGGTCTTCCTTGCGGCGCCACCGGTTGCACACGGCGAGGAGTGGCACAATGTTGAGGAAGCGGCTGATGAGGAGCAGCGCGAGCGTAAAGCCCATAAAGGCCCAATCCAGGTGAAGCAGCGTGATGCCGTCGCTCGTCTGGTTGGCAAAGACAAATACAAGCGACGTCCCCATAAACACAAACACGAGCGATTCGCACACAAAAGCCATCGTGTGGAGCAAATGGCGAAAGGTCTGCTGCGCGGGGACGCTGAGCGTATGGAAGTGGTAGTGCGACGTCATCATGCCCGAGAAGAACAGCGACACGATCCCGCTCAAGTGGAGTGCCTCGCCGGAAAAGTACGCGAGGAGGCTGAAGATGATGCAGAGCGAGATTTCGTACGCGGGAAACAGGTGGAGCCGCGAAAAGAGCTTGGAGTTCATCAGGAACGCACCAAACAAAGTAATGGCAACGCTGACGAGGAGGGACCCCGTGAGCATGAACAACGTCTTGCCCACCACGGCTGCCAATCCACCCATGGAGAACTCAGCTGAGGTGTCCCACTCGTTTAGAGTCATGTACAACGCGATCACAACCGCGTCGTTGAGCACACTCTCACCAAACACGATGTTGAAGAGCTGCGATGGCGCGTTGAGTTTCTCAAAGCACGCCAGCGTCGCGACGGGATCCACAGCGCTGATGAGTGCACCAAAGAGGAACGATTCGATCCAGGACAAGGGAGTGATCCATCCGTAGATGCCACCGACGTATATGGCGCCGCCGGTGACTCCTGTCGCGATGAGCGTACCGACCACCGCCGTCGACAAGATAGCCCCAAAGTTGGAGAAGAAGTGGATCTTCTTTACAGAGAATCCTGCTTCGTAAATGATGGGCGGCAGCAGGACATGAAAGAACAGGTTGTTGTCAAAGTTGAAGTGCTCGATGTAGCTGTGGTTCTCGGCAACGACGATGAAGATACCGACAGCGACACCAAAGAGGAGGGCAATCCCGCTCTGAGAGACCCACGTGAGTGAGCTGCCTTCGAGGAAGAAGGACCCGATCACAAGGACCAGCAGCATGCACAGCAGCAGGACTTCCATCCTTGCAGCAAGTTTCCAAGTGGCGAATCGTTGAAATTGCGCCCGACGGGTGGTTTTGTAGTAAAATCTTGCATTCCAATACAAACCTCATCTAATTTTCTTTGAATTAGTGAAAAAACACCAATTGGGTTTGATCGACGAACCTGATTGGCTAAAACCAAATCCCACCTCTGACCTGATGGTACAGTGATAGCTTCTTTGGCATACCATAGTAAGGTATACCGAATCTATCCAGCTTGAAGTATCCAAGT